GACAAGTACTTGTTACATAAGGGAAAATTATCTTTATAGTCATTGTCCCGGAATCCCTTTGAATGATTGGCTGTTTGTTTTAGACGATCGATCGCACGGCTCTGATTCATGCATTCCTTGCGCACGCGCAACTCGCATGGTGACTGTTATAGCTACATCTTATTTAAACAAAGTTTCATGTAATCAGGATAAAAGGACGGTGGGCAATAGGGATGATGACTAATTTTTTTTTCTTCGTTTATCAGGTAGATTATCAAAAAGTATTGGACACGTGTTTTTTCTTTTTTCACATAATATAAACATTGCAGAGATATATTGATTTGAAAAGTCGCATGACGTCACGTTTGAGGACACATAAAAGGAAAAAATTCACTCAAAAGTGACGTCACCAGCCCCTACTCCCAAACTTTGACGCACTATAACTTTGTCATTTTTTGGTTGCTTGCCCAAAGAAAAAATACGTGTCCATTATTTTTTGATCATCTAACTGACGGACTAAATAGAATTTCGTTTACTGTACCCTGTCATCACCCCTATTGTATTATTTTATAAGACGAACACCTGCGAGTAAATAAAGCTAGCTGTACCATCACATTTTCACAAAGATTTTATGAAATATAAATAGTGAGTTCCATGGAAAACAGGTTTGGAACGAAGCTAAAAATAAATATTCCACCCACCTATCCGCTGGGCCCGAATGTCGAATAATGGCCCAATCTACCTATTCCAAAAAAAGTAACCGCTCTGGGCCCAGTGCAGAAAGATCCCAACGCGGAATGCTCCGTCGAATGCGCCATAGAGTTCCACATTTCTTGTTGGATATAGCTAAAAATGTACGGAAAAACGTTAAAAGAGGCGTGAAGAAAGAAAGTGAATATTAACGTAGTGCATTTTTGATATTTTGGAATGGTTGGGGAATAATTTTTAAGGAATTGCTTTAATTATCAGTATAAAAGTACTATCATGTATGTGGTAGAATATAATATTTATTTATTGCGCTATCGTACATAAACATGACAATTTATATTACATTAAAAAATGTTTATCTCTCAGAAAAATCAACTTACTTGAATCACGTTTAAGTGCACTTAGCGACATCTATTGTAAACAAATCAACTTACATGAATCACATTTAAGTGCACCTAGCGACATCTATTGTAAAAAAATGCATTTTCTTCGCAATAAAGCTGCCACGTGGACGTCCTAGATAGAGACTTATTATTATAATACGGTAAAATAAAATATCTATGTTTCGTCCAATATATTGAAAGTCAACAACCTTTCCAATTTTATTGTGTGTCATGATGCGATCAGCCCACGTGTTTAACCTGACGCGAGTTTAACATTTTTTAACCCATACAAAAAAAAGTGTACAACGCCGCTAAAGAAGTTTTCACTTCAAAAACAATATTAAACCCGTGAAACAGTGTTTTATTTAACTTTATTGAAATTACTATATATGGTGCAAAGTAATGTGATAGATTCTTTTGATTGTGTACCAGCACACGTGCAGCCTACTGATCGTGTGATATCAACCGCCAAATCAGGGGGAATTTACCAGGTCGTAGTCCTGAAGGTCGACTATTGTTGTGCCTTATAAGGCTCCAAACGGTGACCGTGCCGTGTTGTCAACAAACTAATACATTATTTAATATAATTTGAAAACCAAGTGAAAATTCCACTTATATTCCATTGCTTTTCATTAATCTAGCCTTCAATAAAAGTGTATGTATGTACATATATTATTATGTTCCATATATACAGACAAGATACAACAATATGGTGCAATATGAATAAATTTAAGAGTAATTAAAACAAAAAATAACTATAACAATGAACCTAAAACTAAAAACCTTAAAAAATAAAATATAATAACTAAAATACATTATTAAAAGGAGTCCCTTTAGGCAAGGTTCCGAAGATACTGGCAGCGTTCCCCCTTTGGATAGCTAGACTAATTCTTTGTCCGAGGTAGCTGCCAGCTCTTCGGTCTCCTGTGATGTCGACTAATCTTTTCGCTATTACTTTAAAAAGCCTTATAGCGCTAGGACCCCACGGACCAAGGGTCTCGACACCGAATGGGACAAAATCATATTCGGAGCCTAGACCCCTGTATTTGCCTGCCTTAGCTTTTTCAGCCGCTTATTATTTATTATGTTCCTAGTTATAAAACATGAGGTGATTTGGTATTTTTTAATCATTCTTGCGAAAGGAAAAGTCATTTGTTTGTTTCCGTCACAACTTACAAAGTATATTATGATTGGGCGTTTTCAGTGTTTATTTGTTTAAATACAACATACAGTGCATTATATGCCAAAATTGCACATTACTAACTAGTTTCAATTTTAAGATAAACCCCGTAACGAAAATGGTCTAAAATGACAACTTTGATGGTCTAAAGAAATGTTTTTACTAGAAAAAAATCCACACGGACCAGGCAGCAGACGGGACTCGAACCCGCACCCTTCGCAATCCGGGCGAATGCACTGACCAATTATGCTACCGCGGCCCTGATGGTCGCGTCGAAATTTTCCTATCCTTAAGCTGCAAGGTAGCGCCATCTCTTCGCATAGGTAACCCACAATTGGTCAGTGCATTCGCCCGGATTGCGAAGGGTGCAGGTTCGAGTCCCGTCCGCTGCCTGGTCCTCGTGGATTTATTCTAGTAAAAACTTTTGTTTAGATTTAAACATCTAGCAGTTAAATGCTTAAAAATAAATAAAAACATAACTTTTATGTTCCCCGATTTGTTCGTTTTAGAAAATATAAAAATTCTTCTTCTTCTGAAGGGTGGGTGCTTTCCGCAACTCGACTCCAGGTGCCTATTTTGCGTGAGAGGATGGCTTTAGTCATGCTATCCCAACTCCCCCAAGAAGCTCAAAAACAAAAAATATATCTTACTGAACCAGCTCTGCCATTCCATTTTTCCCTTTGGGTACGGAACCCAAAAATATTTCAGTGCAATTTTTACGACGTCAGCAACCCGTTCCCAAGTAATTCTTTGTTAATCTTGTACTATGGCACGAGATCCTCCATATTTTCCTCCCGTTATTTTCTGAGTCGATTTTTACATTTACAATTAGTAACCTATATTCTTTTAAATGTTTTAATAGAAAAAAAAATCCACGCGGACCAGGCAGCAGACAGGACTCGAACCCGCACCCTTCCCAATCCGGTCGAATGCACTGACCAATAGGCTAGTTGACCCTTTTTGGAAAAAGGTTTTAAATGGTTAATAAATGTTCTATTAGACCGAAAAAAAATGTATTTTTTTGAGACCTAAAAAGCTACAAATCTTTAATTTTAAAATAGATTTTTCATGGACATACAAAAACGCTATCGGCCATTTTAGTCTATAGATTATCTATGCTATGACGTTAACTGCAGTAAACACATAGAGAAAGGTAAATAAACAAAAACTCGTAAGAAAATAACTGACTTTATAATAAAGAAAAGATGATTTCTAATAAATACCCCGAAAAATAAAGTAATTATCATTATTGTATTATACGAGAATATAAAAACACATCCTTGAAGATTCCAGGAAAGTTGTGAATTAAAAGTGCCGAAAGAAATTAACCTACGCAACTTTATTACACTTATTCATATGTTGTATCAGTTTTATGTTTATTACTACATTGTAATACTAAATACACTGTACTTACATAGATGCCTTGTCGTTTCTCTGCTCCGCAGAGCAGAAATCGGGGTTTAGTGAAATAAATTCACCAACCATGAATGCGTCAATTCTTGGCAGATTTGTGCTTTCTGTTTTCACACAGCCGGCATCCATAATTAGTTTTTTCGAAAAAAAACAGTAAACGGAAACTTTTCTAAAGTTAAAAGTGTTTTTATGATAAATTTAGTCAGACGAAAGAATCCACCCACAGTAACACGCGAATGACATTTAGTTGTTTACCATAAGAGACGTCACAATCATGGCGGATGTGGCGAACAGCATTTTTAGTGTTTAAAAAATATAGACTAAAAAATATTTTTTAAAATTAAATTTCTACAGCAATCTTCTGCTTTTATGAAGTGAAATTGATATATTTAGGTTCCTTAGACCAAATACTTTATGAAATAAACATTTATTTAATACAATTCGACATGAGTCAACTAGTCTATTATGCTACCGCGGCCCTGATGGCCACGTCGAAATTTTCCTATCCTTAAGCTGCAAGGCAGCGCCATCTGTTCGCATTGTAGGTAACCCACAATGTCAAAACTATTTTTAAACATAACTAAAAATATTTTGCAATGTGTGTCAAAATATACAACAGATTGCCATTATCTTTAAAAAATGAAAGTTGTCTTACTGGATTTAAAAACAAATTGAAAAAGCTCCTTTGTTCAAAGGGCTACTAAACACTGCAAGAATATTTTAATGACAAACAATTAAAATGATGATTTTTAGATTTTTATTGTGATATAATTTATTTAATAATATAATGTGTAATTTATTTAATGCAATTTTTATGACATAGAATTTTATTAATTTTATTGATAAGTAAGATTTTTGATGAGTTTTAAATTTATATTTATTTATCAAAAAATTTAACAAGCTCTTTAAAGCACATTGCTATGTCCTAACCGGGTTCGTGTAAGGATCTAAATAAACGTTTTGCAACACCTCTGTACAACTACATCATCATCATCATCATCAGCCTATTAATGTCCCCACTGCTGGGGCACAGGCCTTCCCTATGGATGGAATAGGGAGATTGGGCCATGACTCACCACGCGGGCCCAGTGCAGATTGGTGAGGTCTAACGACTGCAGATGCAGCCGGGACCAACGGCTTAACGTGCCTTCCGAAGCACGGAGGAGCTCGAGATAGTAATATTCGGTCACACATCCAATGACCGACCACTGCGAAAGTTGTTTAAGTTCAACGATCGCAGCCGAACGCGCTAACCACTTGCGCCATCGAGCTCCTCATCAACATAACAACTACATGAAAAAGCAATAAATATGATTATGATTTTCTTTTGTCTGCAGTGCGAAGAGAGCATGTCAGCCGGGGATATGTGCGTGTCAGCAGCGCGGGCAGGACCTTCAGCTCGATGGCACCCGGCCTGCTTCGTGTGCAGCTCGTGCCAGGAGCTGCTGGTAGACCTGGTGTACTTCTGGCGGGACGGCCGGCTGTACTGCGGCCGCCATCACGCTGAGACGCTCAAGCCCAGGTGCTCGGCTTGCGACGAGGTAAGCAACTTTTCTACTATTATTCAAAATTCAAACTCATTTATTCAGTCTAGGCTGTTACAAGCTCTTGTGAAAGTCAAACGCTACGCCATCGGTTCGTAAATCTACGGCGGGAGACCTTGTACTGAGAAGAACCGGCAAGAAACTCAGCAAGGGCTATTTTTTTCTCCCTGTTTTGTTTCACACAGTGTCGTCAATTGAAAGATGACATCAAAAATTGAATACATGTGTTGATGTCAACTTCCATCACATTAATATTATTAATTAACAAAAGTTAAGTATAACTAGGTAGGTATTATGAGAGGCACATGACGTTTCTCTATATTTATAGCAGTGCCCGTCAGGGGAAGTACAAAAGAAAGTTACATTACTATGTTTAAAGAAAATGAAAAACCCAAATATGCCGTATGTGAGTAGAAAAGTAAGTTATAAGTATAATTGACTAGAAATTAGAAAAGAAAAACTATTGAATAAAAGCGTTCTTTAAACTATATTATCACACACAAGTCACAAAAATTACTATAACGGTAGGAACAATCGGAATTTGCAATAAATACTCTTGTTATACCAGTGGCCTAGTTCATAAAAGAGTGTAGTAGAGTTATTTTATTTATTTATCATCAACAAGTTTCAACAGCGTTTTACACAATATAATCTAATATAAAATTTTAAACGGTACTTTAGCCAATTACAGAAACTCACTTTGTAGTTAATTTAAAAATTAAAATAATTACGTAGGGTAGAAATTACAAATTAACAATAATAATAAAAGAAATACCAACAAAGATTCAAATTAATTTTACGATAAATATAAATACCTATATAAATCAAAATTATAAAAGGAGCATGATAACTAACTTTGTGTAAATGAGTGTGTACGTGTGTGTTTGGTGTAGCGTGTGTGTGTGTGTGTGTGTGTGTGTGTGTGTGTGTGTGTGTGTGTGTGTGTGTGTGTGCATGCCTTCCGTAAAAATTGGTTGTGTAAATGAGTGTGTACGTGTGTGTTTGGTGTAGCGTGTGTGTGTGTGTGTGTGTGTGTGTGTGTGTGTGTGTGTGTGTGTGTGTGTGTGTGTGTGTGTGTGTGTGTGCATGCCTTCCGTAAAAATATCCATATCGAAACGAGCGATTATTATTAATAAAGTATTATTTTTAAACAGGATTCTTTGAATTTACTGCACGAAAGTGAAAAATACCACGGCATTGCTTTTATGAAACAGGGCCTTGATATATAGGTACATACTTAGGTACGCGTTGAGAATTGAAAATGGAAGCAGGGGTAAAATAACAACAGGTGTTGGCACAATTTAAGTACACAAAGATACGGGCAGGAATTCCCCGAATTTCCACGCAACAATTTAGCTGTGTCGAGATATTATATCGACGGTTGCGCCCGCGCCGCCCGCCGTTGGGTAATCGGCGAATACGCCAATATCCGTCGAAGCGATCGCTACGCCATCTTGAGATCGCCACGATAACAGGTCACACCTGAAGGGTGGCACTCTAAGTACCCCTACAGAAGAGTACAAAAGACGAAATAATGTCGGTCATATAATTATACGGCGAACGGGGTATTCCATCATTGTCAGTAAATTGCTAATTTTAAGGGTCGTTATTTATTTTATATACGACGCGTTTTTCGATGGCGACTCGCGTATTTATACTGGATTCTTTTGATACCCCTCAATTTACGTATATGCATGATCGCGATTGGAAAGAGTAAATTTTTTCTAGATGGCTCAAGCCACTTACATTACTGATTCTGTGCTGGTTCTAGAAACATTTGACAACAAATGGACGCCTGAGATTTAGTCTGCGTTCAAATTGGCTTATTTTAAATTTAAATTCAGTGCTAATTAAAAGAAAAAAAATCTTAAAATTATCAATAAAATCTTATTATTATTAAATAAACTGACTACACGCTTTTAGGTTTCCGTACCCAAAAGATGACAATATATTAAATCTCTCTCCATCCGTCTGTCTGTCTATCAGTGGACTGTATTTAATGAAGTCTCCACACAAGAAACAAGATTTTTTTATGCTTCTTTCTCGACTTAGTGTTAAATCGTTTAAGCATTTCGGAACATAGTTTGGCCGGTTTTTGTAATAACGTAACCTCGGTAAGTTTGACAGGAAAATAATAACCTTCAATTTCATAATTACAATTCAGCCTTTATCCTACATTCCTACCAGTATAGTAATTGCATCTTCACAAGCAAATCACTGCAAGCGATCGCTCGAAATTTTAGATAATAGTAAATGATTTCTATTGTATAATGTGTACGAGGAGCTCGATGGTGAAGGCGGTTAGTGCATTCGGCCTGCGATCGTGAAAGTTAAGCAACTTTCGCAATGGTCGGTCATTGGATGGGTGACCAAAAACTTATTATCTCCAGCTGCTCCGTGCTTCGGAAGCCGTTGGTCCCGGCCGCATCTGCAGTCATTAGCGTTAACCAATACGCACTAGGTCCGCGTGGTGGGTCCACGACCACGGCCCACACTCCCTATTCCATCGATAAGGAAAGCATGTGCCCCAGCAATGGGACATCAATGGACTAATGATGATGAATGCATACTTACTATTAATAAATTAAGCCCCCACGCACCAAATCCTTTAAAAAAAAATCCTTAAAATTTTTGAAGTGAAACTTCTTTACGCACGCTTGACTTGGAGGGTAAGCTGGCGAATGCGTTACGCGTTACGAAAAGTGTGTTCGGGCGAAGCGAACGCGAGTTGAGTGGGGGATATAAGCAAGAGAAAACAGTGCGCGCGCACATTTTCTTTCTCTCTTTCTCTTATAGCTAGTAAATGAAATATGTATATGTACATACATGTATATATTGTACACACACATATACTCATATATATATATACTAGCGGCCCGTCCTCGCTTCGCTTCGGTGTAGAGCTGAAGTGTAGACTACAGTTTTTGTTCTCAGGCTTGTATTATACACAATGATATTCATCTATGATTCTTCTTATACCTGCATGCAAAGTCTCAGCCCAATCGGCTTAAAATTGACAAAGTTTCATACAAACTTTCATTCCCTATTTTATCCCCTTGGGGGTAGAATTGATCAAAATCCTTTCTTAGCGGATGCCTACGTCATAACATCAACCTGCATGCCAAATTTCAGCCCGATCCGTCCAGTGGTTTGGGCTGTGCGTTGATAGATCACTATGTCAGTCAGTCACCTTTGAGTTTTATATATATACTAGCTGTCCCAGCGAACTTCGTACCGCCATAAAAAAAATTGTGAATCTAAACCATTCTCAGATCCCCTTGAACACACACAAAAAATTTCATCAAAATCGGTCCAGTCGTTTAAGAGAAGTTCAGTGACATACACACTCACAGAAGAATTATATATATAAAGATATATATATATATATATATATATATATATATAGATATATTTAAATATATATATATATATATAGATATACAGATGGAGCTAAAGAAGTTTCACTTCCGTCGTGTGGTCATAAGCACACTCGTTTTTAATTGTTATTAAAAAAAAGAAAAAATAAGAAAGGCGAATGAAAGTTTATGAAAAATCTATTCCGACGCAGATAAAGTCGCGAGCACCAACTTTTTGGTTTTCTGAATAATCGTTATTTTACGTGCTTGTTTAGTTTGATACTAGCCATATATATGCGTGATGAGAGAACAATACATCAAGCTGGACGTGCCCGAGGTGTACGTTCACTATGAGTTTGATATTTCAAAGGACACAAAAAGTAGGTCAATCACCCGTAAATTTCAATAAGGAGAGGTATCTATCGAATTTTCTGAGCGCTTTTACAAAATTGCGCCGCTGCCGTACTGATCGGCGCGTAGGTAAATTTGCACTAGTATATATTTCATTTTACGGATAATGTTTCGAGTCTTATAAAATAATTATTAATGAACTTATTATAAAAATATATACGTATTTCAGTAGTTCAATGATGGTAGATTAGTTTTATGAAAGTTTTTGATAGTAGTTCTATTAAATTCAATATCAAAATACGAGGTAAACTTACATTATTTTTTGGGAATTCACGGAGGTTAGATGTTTTTATTTGATAATTAATAAGATGGAAAATCAAAATTCTAATACATTATGTTACAACAAAAACATATTTTTGATGTCGTAGTAATTAATTTGATCTAATTTATTCAACATTATTGAGAGACTGAGGCGTTTGAATTTGTTCATATTATAGTTTTTTTCCGTAAACTAGCTACAGTAGAACGATCAGTACAAAAAAAGGAAAATAAAATTTGCAAATATTCTACATTAACTTACAAGGGGACGAATAAATCTACTGTTTACTTCTATTGGAAATATTCAAAATCTTTTCTTAAAGAGGTAAACGAGGCGCTCAAAAATAACGATTTTATGCAAAAATTGTGAAAGGGCTCTTAAGAAGGGAGGCGTGCAATGATTTTTACATACAAACGTTCTCGACCGATTTCTCCTGGATTTTTATCACTAAAGAATTGAATTTCATACATTTAATATAATATTACTCATTTTATGCTCCTATGTCTTCCTTTTTTAGATGACTTGTGTTTCAAAGAAACTAGAAGCCTTCAAAAATGTCAAAAATGAACAAATTTTATATCACCACTAAAGACGTCTAATGTGGAGATTTAATAAGCATTTACAAAAAAAAACCACGGGTTTCACTCCGGGAGTGCCGGCAGAAGTGAAAACTTGAATATTAACGTTGTGCATATTTGATATTTTGGAATGGTTAGGGTATAATTTTGCACGAATTGCTTTAATTATTAGTTTAAAAGTACTATCATTTATGTGGTAGAGTACAATATTAATTTATTGCGCTATCGTACACAAACATGACAATTTATATTACATTAAAAAGTTTATCTCTCAGAAAATCAATTTACATGAATCACATTTAAGCCCACCTAGCGACATCTATTGTAAAAAATGCATTTTCTTCGCAATAAAGCTGCCACCTGGACATCCTAATTAGAGACTTATTATTATAA